CTTCATGCGTGGAGCTTTATTAATGAATAGTTTAACATTTATAACCCATCTCTTATAGGTTTTACGCAGCGAAGATTGTATGCCATATCTAATGCATGCGCATGTCACTAAGTTTTGACTTTAGCGCAAAATATCTTATAAAGATAATATTCCTAAAAGCTAATTTTGTGTATTGCTGCTACATAAAGTTTTATTGCAGTCTTTTTCTCTCTCTCTCTTTCAAAATAAATATAATTATCGGATTTTGATCAGTAAATATCACGAGTGCACTACAATAATTTTAAACTGATGATCTAGGATACACAATATGTTACTAAACTATATTTTACTTTTGTTAATAAACAAACGCATGACTAAAAAGCACATCAAAATAAAGTGCATGCGATTAAATAACGAACAACAGGAACAAAGTCAAGATGTAGAAAGCGATATTCTGAAGGTCTTGTCTTTAATCATTTACATTTTCTAGATTGTTAGTATTTTTGCATTTCTTTTGCATGCATTCATATAGCAAATTACGGATATTAATAATAAAGACAGTATATAACGATGATTGATGCTGATAAACTGGTGATTATCATGTAGGTCAGACAGAATCACGAAAGATGGGGCAGAGCATAATTCCATGTATAATAGCGATATCCTTAACTTGTCCTCCCTCGGTTGCTTTGCACAACATAATCCTATTTGTTTTGAAAAATTCGTATTTTATAAAGGCGTGTTATAAGTGTTGGCTTTATAAAAATAAACATATATATATATATATATATATATATATATATATATATATATATATATATATATATATATATATATATATATATATATATATATATATGTATATATATATCCACTGATCTCTGTCCATCATGGCCCTTGGGTTGACTTTTCCGATTTCATTAAAAAATTCTTATTTCCAAACTTCTGTATTTCCCCAAAAAATGTATTATTTGGTTACTCTCTGAGTGTAGATCTTTCTCATTTTAAATCAATTATTGATTTTTTGCTTTTTTTAAAAACAAAATTTCACATCCATAAATGTAAATTTTCAAAGAAACACCCGTACTTTTTTATTTTCAGAAAGGACTTTGAAATTTATGTTCTCCAGGCCTGCAGATGTCGCTTCAGGTGGTTTGAACGACGCACGAGCGCTGCTTTGAAGTACAGAGGAAGACGTGCTGTTAATGGCTGCCTCCATGTCGTGAATGTGAGACCGACAACGATTAACGTTTTATTCGTCTCCCCAGTTTACTGAGGACATAAACGTGCCATATATC